ACAAGTAAATTTAGGCATTACAACATTACAATCAACAGTCTATCTTTTTTATCCATCCATCTATATGTCTGTCTGTCTCTTTGGAAACTTTATGCTTATAGTGCGCTGCTCATTTATTCCTATACACTGACTGAAAAGGTTATAAAATATCACTAACTTAATGGCCATGCTCCAAGGGAAGTCCTCTTTGGTCTTTTTCATCCTGTTCAGTTTAAAAATCTGGTACGGCTAATAAAATGTAATTTAGTCTCCTTTCAAGTTTCACCACAGTAAACTTTCCATGCCACTTCTTCCAAGTATATGGCAAACAAGCCTCCATGGTCCATTGAGAAAGAGAGGGTGAGCGAGAGGAGAAACATGAGGTTTGAAAATAGAACATGTAAAAATACACGGCAAGGGAAACAGACTTGGTTTTGTTGATTCGAAGAGTAGTGAGTTTGTTTTATCGGGCTTTAGCCGTTCACGCGGACGGCCTCCGGGACTGCCTGGCGGCGGAGTGCGAGTCACTGCTGTACTGAAGGTGGACTGGTTCTTGGGTAGACTTGGTCATCGCCATGGTGTGTCGGTAAGGACACGGAGACTAGAAACTCATTTAAATGACTTTAAATGTCCATCAAGTTCACTGGTTACATTGGAATGGATGGTAGCTTAGATGCATGTGAATATGTGTGTGGTCTAAACAAAGGAAAGAAGAAATAAATTACGTAAATTAAATGAGTCTAGAATAACATAACATTACCACATGTAAATGACCAGATAACACAAAAGATGTACAAAGCACTGTGACGCAATGTACAGAAATAATTATTTGCTTCATGAACCAAAATACACATACAAATGCATAGGTCAATATTTGACAGATTCATCATACACATAATCAAACTAACATTTCTATTAGGCGGAAATATGCAATGGCCTAAATGGGTTCACATAACACTGTTCCAAATAGATGTATTCGGTTTAGGCGCTTCTGAATACGAACATTCGCTTGTGCGGAGAAGCGGCTCTTTCGTGCCTCATTTTATCTTATATAAACAACTCGAACATTCGCTTGTGCGGAGAAGCGGCTCTTTCGTGCCTCATTTTATCTTATATAAACAACTCTATTTAGGCTAGTATTGATCAGCAGCGACAACCGCAATATAAGGTGAATAAACACTTACTTTTAGTCAATAACGTACACAACTCAGGCAGGAATTAGGAAGAAAAAGAACACACAAACCATCTCTCAATGATAAAGCGAATGGAAACTAAAAGTTCTGCACACAGTCACCTGACCAATGCTCTGGTTCGATTGGCTGTCTGTCAGTGTGATCAGGTCATGATCACTATGTCGGCTTGTTGGTATATTTGTTGAATGGGTAATAACGTTTTCTAGCAGATGGTGCCGCTGACTTCCTCTTCTACAACTGCATTTGCTGCTGTGAAAAGCTGACACAAACTCACTCTTAAAAAAAAAAACCCAACCCAGCGAGGGCCAGCGTTTGTCAAAACCGCGCCTCATACTCCTGAGATGCCTCTTAAAGTCGAGATTAAAAAATAAATTATTCAGTAATACTCACTCCCACATTCAGCCCTATATCTTCACAGGCCTCCACTTGTTGTTAATCTGCAGTCATGAGTCACGACTGTATAAAAAGCAGGAGCAAAATGGCTGTCACCGAAGTGAAACATTCAAAAGAGAATAGTGGGTGGACTCTAAGTCTTGCCCTGTTTAGTTGATAGCCCACCTTTGCTCTACTACTTCAGTCTGTGGCATTTGATATTCTGGTGTTGCTCATTCGTTTCGTGACTAAGGGTGCCTACGCGCTAGAGTTTTCGCTGCGTCAGATAACACTCCGAATCCATTGAATTCAACGGGGATGATTTGCGTTGAATTTCAAACTTCTCCTCTTTCAAAACTGCATCCTACTCATGTAACGCTTTCTCTAGTGTGCAAGCGCCCTCAGGCTGAGCGAGTCTACTCCTATGACTCAGACTTGCGCCGTAGTGACCAACGCTTCTCTTTCTCTCTTCATATTTCTTTGTCTCCCCATCCCTTGTTCTGGTTCTGCTGAGTTGTGCTTCATCCTCAGTGTGGGAGCGTTCGTGCCTTTTCATTCGGTACATAGCTCTCTGAGGCACTCCCGCTGCCCCTGAATCTGTGTCACTGTGCTAGTTTGTGCCTATGTTTGAGTCATACAGTCTTAAAGTGTAAATTGCAGGTTACATTTTTCACAAAGATAATGTGCTTACTAAACATACAGATAAGAACCACCCACAATTGTTTTTGGTGTTTTTTACCAAAATGCTGCATATAATATGAAAAGTTTGTACGTTTTACAGTGGTTTTAAGCACGCCCCTTCCCTTCCACTGGGCTGGGCGTGACGTCATAAAAGGGACTTCAAGCTTTTACTGTCTATGCCTGGTCTATGCTCCGAGCCTATAGTTACCGTTAGTCTAAACGGCAAGTAGTTTAGCAGTTATATTGGAGACCTAGCTTCCAAAAATGGTTTAACTGTTGTGTTTGTGTGGGATGTATGAATATATCAAAAATGGGGGAGAGGCTCCACAAGTTCCCCAAGGACTGATTCGTGTCTGTAAGTGTTAGCATACCCGAGGTAGATCTCGGGTTTATGCAAACCCAGCCCGACACATAAACTGTAATTATGAGCCTGAGCCCGATTTAAACCCGACAATTTTTTTTTTTAAAGAGTAACTAAACACTAAACCAACTTTTTTTAGTTAATGATCTGTAAGAATGGATCTTTATTAATACCAGTCATTGATTCGAGTAACTTTTTTGACATTTGTTTATAAAGTGTTTTATTTCTACAATATATGGTGTAAAAACGTCTTAGTGCTGCCCTCTTCAGGTTGAACGGTGGCTACTGCAGTTGAATTTTCCTATTGGATGTTCCGCACTTCGTGACGTACGCAGGTTTCAGCTCACCACATGAGCTACACCCTTGGCAGTATAAAACCATCTTGTGTCGTCAAAACCACTGTAGGGAGTCAGCAGTTGGAATCGCGAGTATTGAAAACGATCAGGATAGAGTGTTTTAGGATCTATTTCGTCCCCTCTATCTCCGCTGGGGTCTGCCCACTTTTCAGCATTTTTCAAATATTGCCAGTGGGTGTAGTCAGGCTCTGACCAGGGTTTTAGTTACCCTTTAATACGTGGGTCATTATTATAACTGATGTTCTCAACTACTTTCTACATTACTTTCTCCTGCCCGCAATATTTGTTTTGTCCCACTCCCGCCCGCAAAAAGACAATTTTTTTTCTGTACCTCCAAATACTTTCGAGTTAGCCTACTTGTCGGCACCATACACATCAGCATAAATGCTCCTGATAAATTATTTGTTATTAAACCATTAACACACAAGCCACGCACTGTTATACCATAAAAACAAACAGGCTAACTTACAGTAATGCATGACTGCGCGCAAAGTGCGCTCCCATAATAATTCCTAAAAAGCTGACATCAGTTCGCGATCTCACACATCTCTGTTATTAACAATATCATAATATCCACACTTTGTTATTTTTCGAGGATTTGCCAGCATACAAAATTCATCACTGAACAAAAAGTCTGTTCTGAGTGGTGAGGGGAGTGTATCGTAAATGCTTCTGATTGGCCCTTGCGTTCAAGAAATCAACACATGTCTGTGATTGGCTACATCACTTAACGCTGCAAGCATCCCAGGTGAAAAGGAAATGTATTTAAAATGTACTTATTTTGATATACTTAATGTATTTTAAGTGCACCGTATTAAATATGTATTAAATGTGCTAAATTGAAACAACTTCAAGTATATTAAGTGTACTTTAATATGTATTTAAGTTCAATTTTAAGGTAATAGTAATATATTTTATTATATTAAATTGTGCTAAAATGGAACCATTTTAAGTACATTTAATGTAATATAATAGCACTTATTTAAAGTGTATTTTAATACACTTTAAATCGATTTTAGAAATACAGCATTAGTATATTTTAGCTTCACATTAATGCGTTCTAAGTATATTTTAAATATAATTTCAGCTTATTAATAATGTATTTGTAGAACAATATAGGACCCACTATTAACATATTAAAAATATATTTTTTCCAAAAACCATTTAATATAAAAATAATATATTTTAATGTATTAAAAATACAGTTAAACATTTTAATTCAACAAAACCCAGTAAAAAAATATTTCTACAAAACACACAAACACTCTTTGAAAGATAAACTTTAATGCACTACATCAGTAAAGCATTATGAAAACTAAACAAAATACATTAACATAAAATGCATTGATTTGCAGAGGTATTAAACAGAACAAAAAATAAATAAATAAATAAACTGAAAGGAGTAGTTCACTTTTTAAAAAAAAAACTTTTGCTGATAATTTACTCACCCCCATGTCTTCCAAGATGTCCATGTCTTTCTTTCTTCAGTCGAAAAGGAATTAAGGTTTTTGATGAAAACATTCCAGGATTTTTCTCCATATAATGGACTTCACTGGGAACAAAACGGTTCAAGGTCCAATGGCTAACAGTCAATTTGTCGTGAAAGCATGAGAATTGCTCAATTGCGAGAGTCTCGTGCTGAATGCTTGAGAGTTGGCAGCCCTGACAAATCTTTTTTCAAGTCAATTCATTCATTTCGTTCGTTGAATGAACCTAATGACTCAGAAAAAGATTTGTTAATTTTGATGAACGAGTTTGAATAGGAGAGTTATGAACATGCATAACAGAACAGAGCATGGCGACCATTTGAGCTTATAAAACTTAAACGTTGTTTTTTTTTTTTTTTTTAAATGACCGATCGTTTCGCTTGATAAGACCCTTATTCATCGTCTGGAATCGTTTAAAGCCCTTTGAACAGTTTGCACAGAAACTGCCTTTTGGACCTTGAACCGTTTGGTTCCCAATGAAGTCCATATGGAGAAAATCCTGAAATGTTTTCATCAAAAACCTTAATTTCTTTTCAACTGAAGAAAGAATGACATGGATATCTTGGCATGGGGGTGGGTAAGTTATCAGCAAAAGTTTTTTTTTTTTTTTAAGTGAACTAATCCTTTAAGTCAAACAAAGTGAAATACAATAGCAAAAAGTAAAGTGGCCAAGTCGTGAGTAAAAAGAGAAGTTCGTGACTTGTTCAGTCTGCCATAGACTCTTTTGGGGACATCAGAACCACCGAGGGAAATCTGGAAAGAATAAAAAAAACAAGCATTAGTATAAACTTGTTCGTTTATAATTCTAATAAAAAGCTGTCACTTTGTTACTTAATTCAGAACACTTACTGAAGTATTAATGCACAAAAGTCAGATATAATTATTATAACAAATAGGATTTTTCTTTATCATAAAGAATTTTCTTACCATGTCTGAGGTTTCAGGAAGACAGCTCAGATGATCTTGGGCTTGAGCTGAATGAACCTCGTTTCATGGACTCCAGGGCCTCTTTTAGAGATGATAGTATCCCTGGAAGCTCTACAAAAAAAAAATAAAGTTGCATGTTATACAAAGTTAGGGCAGAACAAACACTAGTTTGTGTTCTTCATATATAATTTGTATTTTGTTTAAATGGTAAAACATATTTAATGAACCATTACTGTAACTTCCACGCTATTATTGAAGTAATTATTCATTATTAATAAAGACAGAACATTCTATTGAAAGTTACAAGTTGGTGACAGCTGATAACTTAGTAACTAATAATTAATTAGATTTTACTATGAATTAAATATCACAAATGTGAAAGTTTTATTAGAGCTTAAAATATATTATAATATTTAAAACACAAGAAGTTACTTAGGGACAATCAAGCCTGTCGTGTAATCACCATTAATAACCTTTTTTCTGAAAACACAGTGTGCAATGTTTTTATAGTTGCATTATGTCACTGTCTAGATCTATAACAATTAAGTTGATAGACGTCAATGGATAGACGTTAATGGATAAACTCGCTTTAGTGTCAAATCAACAGAAACGCCAGTAATCCACAGAACATCGTCATCAACTTCTGAAAATATTTTCTAAACCCAAAGTGAGAATAAAGCCAATTACACTAATCACTTAAACTAATAAACTTACCACCAAGAAGTAAGATCTTTTCTGGCAGTATCTTGCTCTGTCCATGTCGTGGCGGCGCAGCTCTGCGTTGTCCTCTTCACTGCTAAATTGTTCGCGGGAGCTGACGACCTGGTAATCTGCTCGTGTGTTCTCTTAATATTAGATCGGTGCTATCCACATTCACTAGGTCCGAGTCAGTGAAATAACAAAGCAAAATTTGGAAAATACATGATTTCTGTTGAGATATCCGTCCGAAGCTAATGGAATACCACAGACAGTCAGTATCCGTTGTCCGCGCCCCGCCCAACATGTAAGTTCAAATGGCAGTGTGTGATTGGACGATTGCCGGCAAGCTTGTTTTGAAAAGATTGGCTCTGATTGGTCCAAATGAATGCAACTGGAAATATTAACTAACATCCACAAAAAAGAAACAACTCTGTTAATATAAACCTAACATGCTTTATAACAAGTTTTTTTATTCATTTTGACTAAACAAATGTAAGAGTCAAGCTTTAAGAAATTTATTTTGTTTTTCTAGTATGTACACCTGATCTTTTATGTTGATGTGTGCACGTACTGGTATTCACTTGTTTTGTGGAAAAGACTATTTGATTAATTAATGCAGAAGTATAGAAGTGCATTACTTGTTAGTCAAATTTTAGTGCTTTTCATAATTATAACAAATTAATTTAAAAAAGTAGTATTACAAGTATTACAAAAAGTGTGGTAGTTTTTGGTATATTTCTTAAAAGCTTAACTGAGCACATATTTATAATTAAAGTGCTACTTCTAGTCTTTGTAGAAATATACAATTAATTTCGATACATGTTTAATTGCCTTCATGTTAGGAAGGGAATTAAAGGGACTTGAATTTTTAAACTTGAAGTGAACACAAAAATACTTTAATTTAGCAACAAGTATGCTTTCTGTAAATACACTAAAACTTCACTAAAACTGTGTTTGTTTTTAGCATATTTCTAAAAGTGTAATTAAGTGTATATTTATTATCATTGCGTTTCTAGTAAAACATTTTTAAATATAATTAAAATATGTTTGTATTTAGCATATTTCTTAAAAATGTAATTAAATACCAATGTACTTCTAGTACACTTTTTAGAAACATATTTAAAGCATGATTGTCATTAGCATATTTATTAAAAATATAATTAAGCACACATTTATTACCAATGTACTAATAATATACTTTTTTAGAAATACATTAAAAGTATGCTTTTCTATAGTGTATTTCTTAAAAGTGTATTTAAACATATATTTATTACCAATGTACTTCTAATATACTTTTTAGAAATACATTTAAAGTATAATTATCATTAGCATATTTATTAAAAATATAATAAAGCATACATTTATTACCAATATATTACTAATATACTTTTTATAAATACATTAAAAGTATGCTTTTCTATAGTATATTTCTTAAAAGTGTAATTAAATATATATTTATTACCAATGTACTTCTAGTATACTTTTTAGAAATATACTAAAATGCAATAAAATACATTTTTAGTACACTTTAAATAAGCATGTTGTAAATACAAATGTATTATAAACACACTATTTGTATTTCAAATATATTTTTAATACATTTAATACAACGTCTTTTTCACCTGGGATGTTATGAATAGAAATTCTGGCCTGTAAATCATTTTTATTTTGTTTTAGTTGTTCTTGTTGCTTTTCTGGAACAGATGAATAAAAATGTATTCGTTTATGTTTTATTCATAGATATTTCTAGTTTGCGGGAGTCCCGCGAATCGTTTTATTCGCCCTCGACCCAAACACAGAGTGAGTGCATTACCACCCGCGCTCCCTCTTATGACGTCATCTCCCAGTTACTGTAAAAAACACGCTACCTTTGAAGAAACCCCAATAAATGTTATTTTAACGCATTGTAAGACAGAAATTTATTAATATATACATATTGAACACTTTAATTTACACATTAATTGGTTGTAGTGGTTAACCTGCAATTTACACTTTAAGGCTTCAGTAAGCAGCCAGATGAGGTATTTGCTAAATTAAATGTTAATTTAAAATAGGTCTGTGTGCAGTGACCACCTGTAGATCATTGAACACAGTGAGTGCGGCGGTCGCGGAGTGTGGCTTTTGTTATTTAAGAGTTCTCCTGAAAATAATTTTCTCACCCTCATGTTGTTGTTTGTTGTTGTTCAATCCTTGCTGAATAAATGTATTTATTTATCCATCGGTTGATATTGGATATTTAATTGTGATTTATTTATTTTTTATTTATTCTTTTTTTTAAAGCATTTAATAAACACTGTTAATTGTAATTATTAGCGAATCTTAATTTTCCAAAACGGCGTATTCCGTAAAGTCGCTTGTAGCTAATCTAAATGTTATTTTTAATTTATTTATTTATAAACAATAGTGTAGAATTAAAATTTCAGCTATTATATTGGTATAATATATATCGGTAGAATCCAGATTTGTTATGCATTATTTATTTTTTTACTTTGAGGAACTAGAGGTTTTTATGAGTTTTCAAAAATGCTATCCTCTCTGTGTGGGTGTATTCCTGCACTATTAGTTGACCCCTATCTTTCGTAAACCTCTGCCTCAGCAACATACCATGTTGTTCCATCTTTCAGGCAGAGTTTTGCTAGCTGAATATGCGAGGTGGGGCAGAGGTGTTGTATTACTAGTTTGGCTCTGACATATGAGCTGGTGCTTTTGAAGTGAGGGCTATTGAAGTGAAGTGTAGCACAAGACCAGTGGTCAGATGACTTCCAGCATGTGGGGGATTAAACAGCAGTTGAGGTGGCAGGTGTGAGCGCTGCGGAGCACAAACCAGGATCTTGGTCGTGCTCCCCTGTGCCCCCTTACTGCGGGGCTGACTCAGGACCCCCATCGCAGAGGTCTAATGCAAAACGCTCTTTGAATTCGTGCCAAGAAAGGGGAATTAACTCTAAATGTCAGCGTTTTGTTGTTTTCCGCAAGAAGGTGCAGGAAATGCACAGCCTATAAGTGCATGTTGAAAGATGTCTGGCTGGTGGCGTTTAAACCTTGGACGAATTCCAAACAGCCTTTTTGCGCCCTTTAAGGGTGTTGCAAGAAGGTGACGCTACTCAAAGGGTCTTAATGAAAGTTAGTTAATGAATCCTTTCACGAAGGGCCTGTTAGTGAAGAGTACATGTTATGGTCACTTTTAAGAAGTCATTTTGTCTTAAATATTCAAAAGTTTGGGAAAAAATTCTCAAGCATCACAATTGATAGTAAAGACATTTATAATGATAAAGATATTTTCAAAAACACCTTTTTTGATGCTTTATTTGTCAATGACTCTTCCAAACAGTCACATGAGACCGTATGTAACATGCACCCTTCTCGCTTCAGTTTTTTTGCAAAGTGATGCTCACTTTTAATTTAGTGGAATTGCCTACTAATCTTGTGTGTGACAAATTTAAAACCAGGAAAAGTTTTATGTCGCCCGACAATGCTTCACCAGATAACAGCTCAAGTGCGGGAAACCCGCTAAATTAGTGTTGTTTTCCGAGAACGATTACTCAAAGTGGTTTCAGTAACCTTTGATAATCTCTTGAAGATATTAATCGGTCCCACAAGGGTGGTCATTTTCTTTGGGTCACTTTAACAGCTGCAATTAGGACTTACTGTAGTGTGGGGCTTTTGGTTTCAAATAAATTGCTGTGTTCTTTTCTCATTTAGAAATAAGATCTGATGGATGGACAAGTGATTGGTGAAGCCAGTAAGAAAGGCTATAGATAAGTCTTGTTTTTCCCTCGTCTTTCCAAGAGGTACAGAGATTCCTGTGGAAGGCCAGCAAAAGGTTATCAAATGTTAACAGCAAGAGTTGAATTTCAGACCAGTATGTTTGCAGTGTGGTGTGAAAACCACAGTGAATGAATGACTCTCCTGGGTTACTGTTTGATCCTAGTTAAAGACTAGCACTGTAAGCATTTGTGTTTTGCAGTTGAATAGTGCTGGTATTTGGTATTTTTTTTAATTATCGACATCAAGTTTTTCTGTTTGGTCCATGTGTCGTATGGGGGGCTTTTATTTTGACAGCGGGGCGGACTTTTAATCTTTTGAATATTTAATAAACCTTGTAGACTGCAAGTGTGCATTTGTAGTCTGCATGAATTACTAAATTCTGTATATTGCAGTCGGTACGTGCAAATCGGATGCGGACAGATGTTCAGATGCCACTGGAGACGCGTGAAACACAAACTCGCTAGCGACACGCAGCGACAAAGCGTCATTTCAATGGAGCACTGGCGACTTCCGACGACATGAGCTACGGTGACCGTTGGAGACAGAATGTGGGCGTGTCAAGCGATGCGAGACACGCGACGAAAGTTCAGAAATTTCAACTTTATGCAAAAGAAAAGCGATTTTCGTGAGCAACAACCAATAGGATCTTGACTTTCAGTGGCGCTCACATCACCGTCTTGAGTGAAGGCAAGACAGAAGAGTTCGAGTGCGATTTCACTGTTTTATATGATTTGACCGTACCATGGATATAATAAAATGATGCATGGAAAAAAAAACTGAATAGAAAATGTTTAATTCATACGTTTATAATTTTACGATGGAAGTTTAGCACTGCTGCAGTTCATTTTACAGTTTCCTCTGCATTATGTTGGTGATTAGGGACAAGAAAATGTATTATTTGTCAAATTCGAATAATGTTTTAGTGATTTATGACAGTATGAGTGAGTTTAATTAGTTGATTGATTGATTGTTAATTTAGAAAAGGATTTAATCCACTGAACACTGTGGTAATATCCTAAAAACACTTACTTTTCATTCTTTTGAGCCTAATTCCTCGTCAAATTAAAATGATATAGTTGTAACCTATATATCACTCGTGATGGTATTTTGTATAGATATGGGCAGACGTGCAGTCTACCAATAACATTAGAGCGACAGCACTACAAACACCCACAAGTGACAAGTCGCTGGCGGTGTGAACGGAAAACCTTGAAAAAACTCAATATCGGTCGACCACTACAGTTGAGTTTTGCTGGTAAGACAACAATTGCAGGTGACATGAATAAGAGT